CCCCCCCCCCTATCCCAACCACAAGCAAACAAACAAAGCCTCCAACAGCATGACATTTTGCAAACGGCATATGCAAAAAAATAAAAAACAAAGTAAAATAATAGCATATGAGAAGTCCCAAAAAAGTTTCTCAAAAAAGGAGAGAAATAATATGATCTACAAGGATAGCGCAAAACGCCGATTCTTGCAGAGCTGTGTATTTTTCAAAACGCCCCCTTGTGTCTCAAAGAAAGTGGAAAAAAACCTAGTTATCTATCGAAAATGAATACTGGCATTTAAACTGACCGAGTGCCTTTTATTTTATAGTTTCATCAGCTGTAGATGCAAAAACGACCGTTCTTTACTGGAACTGTTTTATTTCACTTGAGGATTTGCACAGCCACTCATTTCCTATCCTACGTAGAGCTTCTGGAATGTAAAATTGATTTCTTTTTGACGCAGAAACCGCAGCGAGAATATCGTTTTTTGTCCTTCCTTAAATACTAAAACTTTTACCTTCCATCTTCATCACTGCTTTCCTCAATGTATATAGAATGTCCTTTACAATCTCACAAAAGTATTAAATCTGCAGGCAACACTGTCTTCAACTTAAGTTTAAAGTAGTCTACTTGAAGAACGTTTTCTCCACCGATCTAAACACCAAAAAAATCATTTTCCACGCAAAAGAAAAGGTTTTCAGGCGTGAAACTCAGAAATTCCAGACTTTTAAAAGCAAAGAACAGTAAAAAAACATACTAAAAAACTGTTTACAAATTAAGCTGAAAATAAAACCATACTGAAAAGACCGGGGAAGAAAACACTCAAAAACTTGATGTTTTATAGAAAAACTGAGGAGTACGACGCAGCAATGAGCTCACGGCATAGTAAAGCTGCATTCTTCCACCATACTGGAAATCGACTTCCCATCAAGCGCAAACACACCAACCCAAATGCAGCTCAAAACTTCGATCGCTTTCACTAAAGCCTTCGCCAAGCACTGCGTCCCTAGTTTTTTCCTAAATACTTTAGCAAAAGTACAAATCCTC